ATAAAATTAAGAATTTGGATTTTCTGAACGGACAGTTTTTTCATGGTTTTTTGAGCGCTTGAATCTTTTTCGTTTTTGGCTTTAATCTTCCTTTGGATGAAAACTGCTGCAAAACTTCAAGAACTTTCTTATAAAGCTAGGTTTGCTCTATTTAATGATATATCGCATCCTATTTGGAATATAGGATTTGCTGTGTTAGTGATTGTAAATGATCAGTTGTTTTTCATAGGGATCTGCCTCGTGTAGACGATCGCAACCTCAGAGTGCGCGTGAAAATGAACGCTATAAAAGGCGCTCACTCATGCCTTAGTCAGTTCAGTGTTCACTCATTCGCCTCTCATATTCTGTTTTCCCTATTATTTCTCTAACAAATATTCCTGTCTGCTCCTGTCCGAAAGTCGAAAGGTCGAAGAAGTGTCAAGAGTTCGAGGGCACAACAGGCTTATTTCAGATTATTGCGGTCTGTACCTACTTTGATGCAGGAATTATGCATCAACCTAATATAAATCTCTAGAGATACATTTTTGAATTGGAAAAATAGTTGCTGACGAGTGAAATCTTCTATTACTTTGTTAAAAAGCGTAGTCTTGTCATCCAATCAGATGAATAGAAAAGAAAACGTACACAATGGCAAACCATCGCTACAGTAGTGAGTTTGTGGCTGTGCATTATAATGTCAAGTCTTGAAAGGGTTTGAGGTTTTCTTTAAGTCATGTCGCATATTTCTGAAGCTAACAATTAAAGCAGAAAAATAAGCTTTCAACATCAATAAGTAATATCTGCTCTATGACGAAAGCGTTGCCTAAATAGGTTGAAGGCATGCAAGGCTGACGCGGGCAATGGTCAACCTATTTGGGCGACCGCCTTCGTCGTAGAGCAAACATCATTACTTAGCCAAAAAAGAATACACTGCTGTTAATTTATGCATTTTGACATTGTGAATTTCGATTTGGATTAAACGGCACATAACGATAAACAGGAGAATGAGAAGCTGATCTCGTGGTTGATTAATTTGCTTTGCTCAATATGGCATGATGGTGCTTGCAAAAAACAAGCGTGCGCCTATCCAACATTTTTCTAGTTTTTGCTCATCTTACTTTATATAATGTTGTGAGAACTATCGGTATTGTTTGCATTGCCGAAAAGGAAACACTTGCCTTTCTTTCTCTACTTGATTCGTATTCCATTTGATATAGACAATAATTATTGTAACGTCCCCATGGTCAGATCATTGTCGTCATGCCTTACATTTTTCAATCCTAGCAGACCCGTTCAGGTTATAACAGCAGAATTTGGTTTCGGCCACTTCACTAGTTTCTCATGCAGCCCTCAGAGTCTCATTTATAGCATTATGATCAACACCAGGAAATCGCTTTAGCGGTGCAGCCAGTTTGCAGACAGTTTTGTTCGACTGTTATCAGCAGAAAAGTTTATAATGTGTGCGACATGACACTTTGTGGTATAAGATATGACAGTCAGACACTGGTCAGTAATAGATAACATAATAGAAGAAAACAGATGATTCACGTACAAATAGCTCCTTTGCTTGACCTTACCTCACTGTTGATTTTTCTCTCGGCTTTTGGTGAAGGGGGTCACCTTGGTCCCGGCTCAGGGGTGAAGAGGAGGTGAGAAAATTCTCACACTATCGCACCTGTGAGCGAAAATGAGAAAAATGTGGAAAAAATTGTTGAGAACGGTCAAAATTCTCCAACTCTCGTCGTTCAAAACCTTGCGGGGCGGCTGCACCGCATGCGGCACGGTTCCGGAACAGTTTCAGCACAGTGCGAGAACTCTGCGGGAACTATGCAGGAACAGTTCCGGAACATGGGAATCAGTGTGAACCCAGCCAAAGGGCTTCGCGATCAAAGACGATTGCAATCTGAGATATCCAATAATGAAGAGGCCAACCATGAGTATATAAAACTTTCTTATTTCCAGACTCTCAATGATAATGTTAGTTGCTATTTGCGAGATCACACGTCCACTCATGATTCACTCTCTTGTACATATAGCCGCATTTATCACTTGTAGAAAAAATGGCAGAAACTAATTCTAAAGAACTCGCATCAGATACTAAACACTACATGACCAGCTATGGCAATTTTTGACACACTCGAGAAGATGCGGTTGCTGCACTCCAACGATTAGACCAAGAAAGAGCGTTCATAGAAAGCGAACAATAACGGAAAAGCATCAATTTTAAACCTTATGAGTCTGATGCCGAATTTCTGCAGAAAACCTACACTCAAGAAAACATCAAGTAGCAACACTTTCGCTAACGCCTTCTTCAAGCCCGCTGCGAATCCCCAGCCTGCAAATCAATCCACAACAAAACTCGTCTAACATATCATCTGTCGACGCTTTGATACTAACTGTAAGCTCGATTTCCCTACTTTCGAAAGCAACCTATTGAGTTTCCTGAACATTGGGCACGCTTTTCTACCCTTATTGTCGACAAAGCGCAACTCAGTGGAGCTACAAACTCACTGATTAAATCTACATCACGAGAAAAAGCACTACAAACAATCAAAGGGCTTCCAATAACTGCAGCCAACTACCCAGTTGCTGTCGTATTTCAAAATATCATTTTGATAACTACATCACAACTCTTCACATTGTCTGTACTGACTCGCTTCACTTCCTATGCGACAAAGATGGAAGACGATTTTTCGCAGTTCACAGATTACGTCTTGGTAGTCAATTCACAACCTATGACTCAAAAAGTACGCTGGAGCAATCTACTCAACAAGATCCCTTGCCACATACGCAGTCGAGCATACAATAAAAGCAACAGCAAGAGAATCTGATACCTACTGAGCTTCTGAGGATACTCATGAAAATTGTTAAAAAGAGACTACACTTCAAGAAAGGGATCACATGTCGATTCAGAAGGAAAGCATACATTTAAGGCTCCATCTAAATCTTACCTTTGACCACTCCAGAGGACACTAGCCCTTTGACTACTCCAGAGGACACTAGCCTTTCGCTTTAAGTCCAGCAACAGAAATAGATGTCGTTATTGTCTCCAAAACTTGCACAATAGCCTCAACTCAACATCTATCAACCGCTCCCACAAGGACAAAAACGGTGAATAAAAATGGACTCTGTTCTAATGCCTTTTACCACACGTTATGAAGAAGTGCTTATTAAAAAGAAAGTGCTTTCTTTGCGCACAAAAGCACTATACTTCCTTGTGTTTGAGAAAACCTGCTTTTTTGTCCTTGCCATCGACCCAAGCTCAAAAAACCCAAATCCATAACGTTAAAAGATAACAACGCTATTTTACTCCAAGCAGCCTTCGAAAAAGGAATACATCGTCTGCGACAAAAAAGATTGATTATCTATTGCGCGACCATAAATTTCAGATCGAATCTTCGCACAGATGTTATTGGGTCCGGAGGCTGCAAAAGAGGAATATGCAATAATACGAAAACATCAGACAAAATCGAAGAAGTTAGGCACGTGTTCACGTACATCCCCGCTTGGAGGGAAAGGGATTTGAGAGGGGATGCTTTATACCTTGCTACTCTAAGTATCCTTCTTCTTCCTTCTCTATCTTGCTTTTGAAGATTCTCATACCCTTAGACCTGCGCATAATGGATGCCAGATATTTCCCTACAAGATTGGTTCCTGAAAAGTCGTGAAAATGGAATAATAATGTCACATTCGATAAAGATGCTCAGACAATCGCAAATGGCATCCGGGACGCACGCTCTTATTGGGCAGTGTGGATGGAGCCCGCCCTAACTCGCCCCACTCTACCTGGCAGCTCCAATAGGAGCGTCCGCCCCTGAAGTCATTTGCGATTGTCTGAGTAAACATTTACGCAAGATCAAAGAGATGAGGGGCAGGAGTTGGTGTCATTACCAAGCGTCGCCAAACCCCTTCTGCATTTTTTGTACTGCTAGAATGCATATATCAACAAGAGCCTTCCATTTTGGTCCAATGTCACTGAAAGTTAAAAGTAGCGTTTCGTTTTGGCTCAGTCTGGTCGTAAGAAATACTCAGAAGCATACACTTCATAGTCATAGTTTGATTACTTTATGTGCACAATAGGAAATTGCTTGTCGTTATCTATATACTACATAAAGACATCAAAAAATTCTCAAAAATATCTTTGTGATACAGTAAAGGTAAGCTTCCTGACGCTCCTGGCAAATTGACACTCCGAATGCAGGGCTACACTGACGGGTCAAACCCTTGTCATGACAGTTTGCATGATTGAGTAAATGTGATAGATGTGTTTTGTACTTGACTGCGTTCCAGCTCACGAAAAGACTTGTAACGAAGAACCAACTTGTTAACGGCTTCAAAAGCCGCATACTTAAAGGCAGCGTCCAGGCAGATTTGGACCTATGGGGCTTTTACGTGGAAAATACTTTTGAGGCCCTAACTAAGGCACTGCCCAAGCGACAGCTCAGGTAGTGCTTTAATGGCTGAGATATTCCCCTCGAAACTGGCCCCCGCGAACGTATTCGCATGGATTCATGGCAGTTTCGCGCCAGGATCCACGCTTTGCGCCATGAATCCATGCGAAACACGGTCGCGGGGTCCAGTTTCGAGGGGAATATCTCAGCCATTACAGCACTACCTGAGCTGCCGCTTGGGCAGTGCCTTAGTTAGGGCCCCAAAAGTACTCTCCACGTAAAAGCCCCATGGATCCAGATCTGCCTGGACGCTGCCTTTAAGGACCGGGCATACTTCACGCGATGTGGCAATTTGCCACAAGTCTTCGGATCCAACACTAGCAATCTGCACATGCATAGTGTGTATAACTTACGTAGATTGATAAAATGCCCTATTTCTGTACATTTAAAATTTGTTTACAGTGAGTTATGGACAGTTGGAACACTGCCAAATTGCGTCGCGACTGAAATCGCGTGAAGTATGCCCGGCCCTTTAGTAATTATTGGTCATTTCATCAAAAGCACCGTATCATAACAACTTTCCCAATGCGTCAGCGAAAATGCTTATAGGATTAGTATGAAAATGGGAGATATTGGCAAATTTTATTATACATCAAGGTGGGCATGGGATTACACCAAATTGAGTGCGATGAGCATCGACACGAGGATTCCAGCGTAATGAAGGACGGGTGCTAGCTTTCTTGGTCTCAACGTTGTGACTGGTCTGAAAATACCATTGTTAATTTGCGCTTGATTTTGACTTGAAATATCTTTTAATGGAGTTCGAATATCGAGTAGATTGGGTAAACGAGCCAGTCCATGAAACTCTAAAGTACACAGCTCTGCTTACCGAGTTGTTGTGTTAGAATTTTTCACGTCGGCAAATCCTAAACTCTTTCCTGTGTAATCGAAGGTGACGCAGTATTGCATAAAGAGCGGAGCTCCAAAGTACCATCTTGGATCACCAGAAACTTGGTGAAATTTGAAAGCAAGCGCACAACCAGTTGATGACTGCGGAACCTTAATGCCAACTTCTACTTTCATCTACCATGGCAAGTGTAAATAGAGAGATCTCATTAGGAGAATGTACTCATACATGTAGAATCTCGCAGACATGCTTTGATGATTGCAAAGTGATTGTATGATTGTATTTTGTTTAAGACTACCAAAAACCATAACTAATCAGATAACTTATCCGTTACCCAAGTTGGATAGTATTCTTGTAACTGAGCTTTTAAAATTGAACAAACAGTTGTAGTCATTTCTTGTTTCTTGTCAGTTTATTTCTTGTCTATGAAACCCCTTTTGGACAAACAGTGGAAGAGACATCAGTGAAATTTTTATGGCCACGATCGAGGAATAGTTCAAACATACTCGGCGACTCATGGCAGCACTGCTAAATAGAAAAAGCCTTCTAGATGAGTTAGAGTCAAGGCTTGGCACATGGTGACTTTTACAATTTTTCGAAAACGATGTCCACGTTAACTTCGCAACAAATACACGACCCCTATGACTTCCTCTCACGATTGAATCAAACATGCATAACAAAAAAGTGAAAATTATTGAAAACGACGGAAGAACGATTTAAAAACTTATGATGTTTGTATTCCTCGCACGGCGGCATACTTTACAGACCCCGCCGCTCCCGCTTCGCCTGACTCCGAAAAACTTTGCCACATTTTTAGTTCAAATAATTTTCCTCCATTTTGCTGTTTTTGCAGGTAACGGGCAACGGTAGGGCAGTGAATGAGCATTTGCGACGTCTCCAGAGGATAGAAGATGAGGTTAAAGAGATGGATAGTGAGAGGAGTGATTAGGGTGGGGGGGGGATTGGTGGGATGGGAAGTAGAAGTCAAGTTTGTGCGCGTACTAGATGTGGCAACAGCTGTGGAGTAAGTGTGGTTTGTCAGAGGGAGAGCTGAGAATTTGTTGGATTGATGGGCGTGAAATTAGTCAAGTCCTCAAAGTTTTATTATTGGGTCAATTCATATGGAAAATCAGTTGCTTGAAGTTGGAAAGCACTCCGGAGACTCCACTTTTGCATTGGCAATTTCTTTATGCAGTGCTGGCCATAATAGACACTCTAGAAAAACTCCCTTAATTTGCGTTCCTGTTGACCATTCTGTCTGGAACTTTGCAGTTTAGTGCGCAAACTTGAAAGGAGAAAAATGAGAAAACCGAAAAAGCCCTTACTGAAAGCTGGACATAATTATAGAGAAACCTGGTTTTTTATGCGCTATCGCATCCCCTGCTCTAAAATTATTTCGTACGATTAAATACTAAGATATGGAGCATTTGCAACATACGCGACCTGTCATCCTTTTCAAAGAGGAATGAACACTGCATGTTTTGCTTTCAAAAGCACCAAAAATCAGTCTGCTCTTCAACAAACAGGTGGTTTAAAGAGGTTCCAAGCTTCTGTTCATCTCAAATGATAGTTTTGGAATCCGCTGAGCCTTTTCGATAAACGAGTTGAGGAGCACTTTTGTAAACTCTGCGTGATCGTTGATATGGACGAACAGACTTCAATCTTAACATAGATTTGTCACGCTTTCAAACCACAAAACTCAATTTTCAAGCAACAGAAAGTACTGTAATGTAGCCAATACGTAGGCTGTACAACAGTAAACTTGTGTGCATAGTTAAGAAAGTATTTCGAAGTTTGCATAATGATTCAGCCGCAGTTGTCATCCACTGGATGTTGAGTGGAGCACCCTGCATAATCATAGCCAACGCAACGAGATAGAACAGTAGACCGCTAAGAACTCCAAAACTTTAGCTAATTTTATTTTTTGGATAGAATCTTACATGAATTAGAGTGGAAAATAATCAGATTTATAATTCTCGCGAATCCCATGCTCGCAGACAGTCTTCGTTGAGAGTATTTCAGGTCTAAATAGCCACGCATTATTGAGGAAAACTGAAGGCTGTTGTGAAAACTGCTTCACCATGTATGCAATGTAGTAAATCAAGTTCGACACTTTATGGACATTGCAAACTGTGTTTTGTGGCTTAAACGCGTGTCTAGCCTAAGTTGAGGTTGGAGTCTGTCCGCCAATGTCAGCGATCATGCAAAGTTTACAAAAGCGCCTTTCAACCCATTTATCGAAAAGGCTCAGTGGATTCTACAACTATCATCTGAGATGAACAAGGGCTTGAAAACTCTTCAAATCAGCTGTTTGTTGAAGCATGACTTTTGGTGCTTTTAAAAGCAAAAAAATACAGTGAACATTCCTTTTGCTGCTAATTTTTCATGTTTTAGTATGTAACTGTACAAAAAAAATTTTAAGATCAGGGGATGCGACAGTGTTCAAAAAAACCCAGGTGTCTTTATAATTTTTTCCAGCTTTTGGTAGGGGTTTTTCAAATTTGTAAATTTCTTCATTCAAACTCAACAAAATTGGAAGTCGTTTTGAGAGATCATGGTAGGCTGACATGCGCACTAAACAGCAAAATCTCAGACAGACTCGTCAACAAGAACGCAAATTACGACAGTTTTTAAAGAGTCTTTATAATTATGGCCAGCACTTCATACACCATACTAGGCTAGGCTGATTACATATGTTTTGGCACTCCGAAGCCCTTAAGAACAATACCTTTGCTGTTCATTTACAAAACGATATCCAGTTTGCACCGTAAACCAAACCACCTGTTCGAACCCTGATTAGAGCTGCCTAAGAAGCCAAGAAGGGCAGCAGAGATTTACACAGATTCTAATTGCCGTTTGAGAAGTACACCATGCGTGTTTTGCACTGCCACTTAGTTCTTCGTGTCTAACAAAAACTAAGTGGCAATCGCTTTGATTCTAATAAAAATTATACAGTCAAGTAGATTTTCAGGTCAATAGTGTGCTCGCACTGCAGGTAAAATGCGGTAAGATTAAAGCGTAAACAAATAGCTACGCCTGTGGCGCCGGCCGATTGCGCGCGCAGAATGCCGGCAATACTGGCGTGGTTATTTGTTCAAATGGCGCAAATTTTACAGCATTTTCTGCAGTGCAAGCCCACTATATTAGGGGGAAAATGTACTCGACTGGACACAAATCTATTCTCAATTTAGGCAAGAAAAATCTTTGAAAAAGTTGTGAAAGTCTTCTGATAAATAATCTGCAATGGATAATCGCAGTAATCCTTTATGATTTTCTGATGACCCCAATGATATTTTGATGGGTACTACAACCGAGAAATTTCAATGCAGTAGGCGGAATAACAGTAAAGTTCCATCTTCATAATTTTACCTTCTGCAATAACTGTTTTGCTTTTTGAAAATATTTTATCTGTAATAGAAGACTTTCGACATACACAATAACAGACCTCATATCATTCGGAGGATGCATCCAATGCTATACGCCTTACTATCAATGGACACTGTCCTCAAACCTTTGCTGAGTTTTGAAATTCTTTACCTTCACGATCAGCTTGTCCGAGGTGATTGTATACTCTGCGTTGTCAATAGAGAATTTGAAATCCGGTACGTTCGCACCGCAACCAATTTCGTAAAAATATTCGTTGTTCAACTAAAAATTCATATTAGTTTGTACCAAAACGTGACTTAACTGGTTACCTTCGCTCCTACACTTTTTGCTAACCTATCCACATCTTCTTTTGGGCCCACAATGTTGTGAACAAGCTCGGGCATCATTGTTGTTTGGCCAATTTTGAACGATGCTCCCATCGAAATTGTCTGAAGAATGCAGGAAACTGAACAAAATTATTCCAAGCCTTTTTTCTTAATAAACTTATATTTCGCCTTTTTTACACTTATTATGGTTAAAAAATCAATTAAATTGCAAAAAAAGAAAATAATGATTTCTTACTTCACAACTTAAAAGAGCAAAATGGATGTTTGTAGAAACTCAAAAAAAAACGGCGTACACAAGAAATCAACAATCTCAAAAAAAGTAAACGCAATAAACACCTATTGCATTTCGGGAAAACTTCAGACACTGCCATGATTCCGTAGCGATATAAGTCCTGCAGAGTGGGGAAAACGTAATTGCAAGCATTATGTTAGCAAAATTGATTCTCATTCTCAGAATCCTTTTTCCCTTGCTTTTGATGCTTCACTTTTACTGATAAATAAATAGTTTGTCTCAAAGAAATTTCAAGCCTTCTAGTTGCCTTGAATCTAAAGTTGCTTCAAAGCATGCAAAGCTTTTATAAGCATTCCTCGGCAGTAGGATTGTGCAGAATGAGAGTGTTGTAGCTTTCCTCTTATGAAGACGAGCACTGGTGAAAACATCGTCAGTTGTCACCGAGTTGGAGAAGCTCCATATCCCATATCCTTGAATGTACCGAACGGTCCCTTGAAGAGCTGCTCAAACATCGCACTTTGCAATCTCCCATTGCCAAAGATCTCTGAGTCTACAAAGCTCAAATGCCATTCCTAGGTCTATCCATCTCATCTGCGAAATATTTTTTTCAAAAGAGTTGTTTGCAATAAAACATACAAACGTCGGCGAAAAGATGTCCTCAGTTCTGCAATAAACGAAAACATACTCTGTACCACCTAATCTTGGAGTTGGCGTAGTGCTTATGCCTTTAGCTGTTAATATTAATACGGTCAAATTTATTTGCTCAAGAAGAAACATCCCGCAATTAGAGAGTGCAGCTTCAAAATCGGCATTCATCAAACTGCAGCGACTCAAATATCTTTTTGCCTGGCCTCCCTGATTGAGAGTGCTTTCTTGTAGGTTTCAACATCTCTGCAAGTTCTAAAGCATTTTCGAATACCACACATTATTCCAAAGATCTAAAATGGCAAAATGAACTTAGAACGTGGACTCAGCTGAACAAGGCTTTCAAGCTAATGATATCGCACAGGGTGCGGCTAAGAAATGTGTCATTACCTCACAATCGTGCGCAAAACATCGTATGAGAGAAAAACAGTCCCACTATTTGTGACACAATTCAGGGGGTGCACATTATACATCAAAATTGCATGTCATATATCCTGAAAGCACCGTCCACTCAAAGTTCGACCTCCATGTTTTTCCGTTCCAGGGCCTTCCCGTACCCCTGATTCCGAATATAAAGTCGGAAATCGCGAAACTCATGAAAAGCCCCCGTTTTAAGAACCCGCAGAGCGATTTCCTCGGAACGGTGATTGGTTGAGCGCGCACGGATGGGCGGGACAAACGTCACGCCCACTCAAAGGGGAGAAGCCAACGTGGCAAATCTGTCATCCGAGCGATTTTCGAAGCAATTTTCTTGCTTCGGAACCAACTTTTGCCAGCGCGAGCTGTATAAGTATATAGTTGGGTGCCTCACTAATGTTAGGCATCAAAATTTCATCGAGCCCATTTTGGGTGAACGGTGCCTTTAAACAACGGGCAGGTCGCAGACTGATGAGCGCATTTTTGTAGTATTCATGATGCAAAAGTTAAGTTTCGGTGCGTTCTAGTTTTATACTGGGTGCAGTTTTTGCTCATTCGCCGGCTATGGGGTACAAGGTGCCCCAAAATATGCGCTGTCTGATTAATAAACACTTTTGTCATCATGAAGTCATTTGAGAATCTACAGATACCATTTTGTAGAAATGGCTTCAACATAGATACAAAGATGATCACCGGGGTCAAGCGTGGGGTGCGGCACGCCACATCTGGGGGGTCGTATTGAGGAGTCAAAAGGGGAGGGGGTCGTAGTGGGGTAATCTGATAATAGTGATAACATGATATTCGTATCATATCCATAATTAGCATGTCAATTAGCCCCTGTAGACAAAGTTTTAGCGCATTCTGAAGATTCAAGATACTAGACTACCTGAGTGGAATGGTCATATTTCAACTTGGTTAACTTTATTTCAAAGGTGAAATAGCTATCCGTTTTTGCACTCAAGACAAAGCTCCTTCTTTGTCCATCTCAGAAACCCCGCTTCAGAAGAACTCCAAACTGTGGAATTAGAAGCCAACCAAAATCTCATTTTTCCCATTTTTCTCTTTTGATCGCTGTTCTTTCACCAAATATTACTCAGAGCTAAGAAGCTGCGGCAGCCGCAGCTTTTAAGGGGGTGTGCCGCACCCCATTAACTATATCAAAAAAGCAATTTTAGCGGACAGTATTTATATGAATCGATAGCCTAAACCTTGTAGATTCCATAGGACTGTTTTGAGCCTGATTCGTCTTCTTAGCTCTGAGTAATATTTGGTAAAAGCACAGCGATCGAAAGCGAAAAATGGGAAAAACGAGATTTTGGTTGGCTTCTAATTCCACAGTTTGCAGGTCTTCTGAATCGGGTTTTCTGAGATGGACAAAGAAAAAGTAGTGCTTTGTCTTGAGTGCAAAAACGGATAGCTAATTCACCTTTAACCAGCGATCGTGTGCCACACCCCTTGCTTGACCCTGATGATCACCCATCTCTAGTAAGTTCTCCATGGACGCCGAGTTTGATACTCAACTTCACACAAGATTGTGAAGCTTTTCAGATGTTGCACCCACATTTTTAGCAGCATCGAACAAATACTGTTACTGCATATCTGGTATAACTTTTTGCTCTAATTATCTGGTGTAAAAGTTTCCGGATGCTTTGTTCCCTTTCTGAGCCAAAACAAGATCCTGCATGGATCAAACTTTTTTTGAATTTCCTACCGAAATCCTACAGTAACAAAGGCAGATGGGTGATACGTTTTATACTGTAAATCTAAGTTGAATAAGTTGAATCCAGCTCTACAAAATGGTACTCAAAACTTCTTCAGAGACTTCGTAACAAGAACGTTATTAACAAAAACATTATGCCCATTGGGAGGACAATTTGTGGGTTATAAGTAATTAAGATTTCATTTACCTTGAGGCGGACAAAAGTATTTGATAGTAATAGGTGGTACTTAGGACTCGTTGGACAATTTCCGGAATCCGTGCCACCATAACTCACACTCCCTGCATTCGAGTTTTGTGAATTTTGGTTCATGTAGACTGTGAACATCGTTCGATCCAAAGTCTCTTCAAAATGAAGTGATTACGGTTAGAATTTTCAAAAAGAGTTGACCAAAAATTTATGCTCACTGCTCTTATCAAGCTGCAACAGAAAAGGGTCACTAGGGATTCTACTGTCGTTTCTCACTCCAAGGCCGAGCATTCCATCGCAACCAGCCTGAAGAATCCTCATTTCTAGATTTGCATAGAACTTACTGGGTTCTTACCATATTTTTACCAAAGTCATCTGATACAACAGTAGCCATCCCGAAGATGCAACTGACCAGCAATTGCCTCTCATCGGCAGAACCAATCTTTAGGTGTAGGGAGTCACACCACATCTTTCATTGCGCTTCACCATAAAAAACTTACCCTCACGTTGTCTTTTCCATGCACGCCAGAGACGGTGCCGTAAGTCTGCTGAGACCACGATCGAGAAATATTGACGAATGTATCTGACTCTTTTGGGTGAAACTTATTCCTACTCGCACAAGCAGCACTTCTGAAAGAGTAACCTGCATCAATTTTGGCAATTCCGTCACTCGGACACTTCTATCAAAAAAGAAAATCATTTTCTTCGAAAAAACTACGATGTCTCAGGTTTTGCAGTTTTGCAATTACATCAAACGACTCAAAGTTACATGAGGAAAGACTCACTTGCATGTTACGCTTGGTATCCACAACAAGGAACTGCGCAAAGATACAGCAACGTTAAACTTCTCTTGTTTACTACCAACATAGATTTTGTGAAAATAGGCTTGTTTTCCAGGAACCAACTGTAACATCATACAATCTGTTCTATCCTTCTCCTTGACATCATCCGATTTTGAAGCTCTCCGCTTTCAATAGATGTAGTCGAGAACTTATAATTATTGACTCACTACAATACTGGTTTTCATTCCATTGTTGGAAAAGCTAACGTGCTCTTCCTCTTTTGTACTCACGACTCCCTAAAGGGTTATTATTGGAGCTTTTACAAGCTTGACTAATACAATAGCAGGGCACTGCTTTTTCATCAGACTGACCGTAATCCGCCATGAGATTATGAAGAAAATGACTGTGATGCTGCTTTGTAGCATGCTTGTACCTAAATTTTTTCGCATAAACAAACCACATTTTTCTTGTTTGAAATGCAAAGCAAATTGCTTGAAGTTTTGGAAGCAATAAAGTGATGAATGAACAGAGACGAAACAGAGGCAAGAAGAGAGAGTGAAAAGCGAAAATAAAAATTTTAAAAATATCAGGGCTTCACATATAGAACAAGATCAAGTCTGAATCATCTTGGTATTATTTATGTCCGTGAAAAGATCACATTATGTAGAATGATTTGCGTGCAGGTAGAAATAATGACTATTTAATTCGGCCTAAGCCAAGACGAGAGGTTTTTCGGGCAGCGCTCGTGCCGCCAGATTAGGACAAAAACCTGCAGTTTTTCTAAAAATTTCTCGCTATTTTTCCAATATCAACGGCAGAACTAACATCAAGTTTGGGTGAGCTACCAAGACCTATAAGCTGTAAGATACCCAGCTGTTCATTATTTTGTACTCTAAGGTTCAAAAATTTCCTGTTACTGGAACGACTTCAAAGCACATTATATAGAACGCCCGGATTGCTACAGCTTAAGCTGCTCTCATATTTTATCATATTTTGAGATTGAACCTGGACATTACAACTTTCGCGACATTAAAAAGGTTAAATTTACCCTTCAAAATCGTCATAAAAGGTTCCAATTCTGAATGTAAGATAAAATGGTACTTACACATCAAGTGACTCTAAATTAAAGAAAGCATTAGTCCATCTTGATGATAGCATTCTTGATGGCCTCGTTGAATAAGCATGTCAAAAGCCACATAGACGTGACTTCGTATTTATTTTTTTGCATTTTGGAGAAGGTAAATGGCAGGACGAGACACTGTTAAGAAATAAAATACACCCTTAGAATTAAGCTTCTTTGAAATGTGTCATGCAATGTTGTACGGTACAAACCACCTTTTTATCTGTGAAACCATGATAACTCAGTGAAGCATATGGTGTACAATATTGCGCAGTATCACGAAATTACGACTTTTGGGACATGCCCTTTTTTCAAAATGCCTTACAAAGTTAACATTTCTCAATTTTGACTGAAATTCTTATCAGTCACAGTTCAAGCGTTATAGTCAAAAGTAGGGTTAGATGTACAAATTGGCAAATTAGAACCACCTTTTGTGACCAAATGTTAAGTGCCGAAACTTGTACGCTAAATAGCTATCTGCATAGATGCAAGATTCATAATGCTTGGAAATATCGACTAATCTTTTCAAAGTTATACCTCTGTGCCTCATGACAACTGGAAAATATCGTACAGAAATTTTCTGAGTAAAATTTGCCAAGCGATTAGTCGCTAAGCAGCTTCATGTGTTTCGGAACATGCGCCGCTCACTCTGAGGGTCGGTGGTTGCATTAATACGCAAAGTTTTCTAGGGCAGTAATCAGACAAAAATTTCGAGATATCATAGAAGAAAAGATGCTGATTGCTGAAAATTCTGACATAAACGGCTTGCGACTGCCCTCTTATACCCTTATCAACAGACACCTTTGCTTTGCAGAAAGCTTTCCATTGATTTATGATTATTAGAAAGATTAGAAAAAACTAGACTTGTACTGATAGCTAACTTCTTCGCTATGTTTCTTCACTGTTATCTTCACAACAGCTCACAAGGAGAGGTTACATTGTCAAAGTGGACTTTCAGACGCTTTTTTTGAATCTGATCTCGTCTTAGCGAAAAACGCATAAAGGTCACTGAAAAAAGAAACCAAATGCAACGCGTATGGTTTATTTTCTGGATAGATTTTTCACATTTAGTATAAGGTCGTCCCGAGAGTTCTTTCGCACCAAATTCAAAAATGCAGAACTTCTGATTTTTCCAGCCGATTCGACTATTATTTTTATATGAAAGAGTAAGCCATGCCCTTCATATTGTCACCTTAGCTGCTTACTAATGAACATCTCTTGCATAGATAGGAGCGGTAGAATAAAATTAGTCAAAATTCGAATTTTCTGTGTAGGGTCATAAAAAATCGAAAACTTGAAACAAAAATCGGAGCAATCGGTATTGTAGGTTCTTTTATCAGCTTTTTCCAACTGTACAAAGTTTGTGCCGATTGCTATAAAAAGTTATGATTGCCCTGAAAAATGCCAAAATAAATCAAATTCGCCCTTTTGTATTGCTTGTTCTAAAATCATAACTTTTCATAGAAACGCTCAAACAGCGCAAACTTTGCGCCGTTAGAAAGAGCTGATGAAAGAACCTGCAATACCGACTGCTTCGATTTTTGTTGCAAGTTTCCGATTTTTTATGACCCTACACAGAAAACTCGAATTTTGACTGATGTTCTCCTACCGCTCCTATCTATGCAACAGATGTTCGTTAGTAAGCAACTAAGGTGTCATTGTAAAGAGCATGACATACTCTTTCATTTAAAAATAATGTGAGTCAAATCGATTGGAAAAATTAGAAGTTATGAATTTTTGAATTGGTGCGAAAAACTTTCGGGACGACCTAATATTTTCTAGCAACTTTCACTTTAGTTTTTTATTAAGATATTCTTAGCTCAGTGGAAGCAGCGTTGAGTGCAACTATATTTGAGTTGTGAATTAGCGCCTAGAGTATCCTAAAATTAACAGTGCCTTTAGGCGCTGAGAAATATGCTACAACTGAGTTTATTTTACTTGCGTATTAGATTTTCTGCTCAAATAAATGCTCAGAATTCCTTGCCCCCAGACGCTCTGAAGATAAGAGTACAATTCGCGATTAGCTCTTTATGCCCTCTAATCAATGTCACCACATTTTCAATGGTCACTTCGACCAACCATCCTTCCTTGCTTCTTTGTTGATCAACCAATGCTATCGTGTGCCTCTAAAATATAAGCCACTAGCTGGTGGCCCCGGTCTCACCTGAGACTCCAGATTAGCTTAGCTAACAGATCTTATCCAACAGGACTTGTGAGCTTACGCTTCTAAATTTTTTTAACATGCGCAAAAGCGCTTTGAGACGATTTGGCGCATTTTGGGGTGAAATGGACTTCTACCGCCCCTGCTTGCATGATTATGGATCACTTCGGTTGAAGCATGAAAAGCTATCATTTTTCTAGTTTTGAATGAACAAATCGACAAATCAATGAAAGGGCCCAGCGAATTGCCACAACAAGTAACCTATGGCCTCCATCATGGTCAAAAACATATGTTCCCAAAGTTTCGGTTCGATTGGTTTAATAGCGGGTGTTTTTATTACGAACGGACAACCTGACGGACATCCTCACAGACTTTGAGTTTTATTTATATTTAGATATTTGCGCCATCATAGTGCCTTTTTAATGGTCTCTTTGCTCTTATCGGTTGTGCTTTTTGTACTTCAAAAATTCAAAAAACACAAGCACCTCTCAAAATGCAAGAGAACTAGAAGTACATTGTGAAGTTGCGCACATCTACTCAATGTTGACGAAAGTCTCCATGAAGACCAGCATACAACTTATTTTTGGTGATTTCTGATAGGAACAACGGAGATCTGCTAAGTAATAAGAAGATTGTCAGAAGTCGAAGTGGCTGAAACGAGTTGCAAACCGTTGAACAGTATGCAGTATAGTTCTAAGGTCGAGAATTCCTATCGAACCAACAATTACCGAATAAATGACTCAGAAATACCAAAATGAGCGAATATTATTTTTGGACTATTTGAATTCGAATATCCGGAAAGTGTACATTTGATTCGAAATTTCAAATAATCGGATAACTCGATCTAATCGAGTATTCCACTATTCGAAACTCGAATAATTTTATGGTTCAAACAGTCTATTTTATGCCCTTTCTCTGTTGCAGTTTAATAGGAGCACGCTTGTACTCAATGTAAGATAATAGAGCCCAACTAACTATATTCGAAGTTTCAAAAAATTTCATGCTCCTTTTACCAAGTGTAGAATGATGAGAGAACCAGATTGTAACCATACAATAATTAGGTTGTTCTAAAAGTAAGCTCCCTTTCCAGATAAATTGTGCTGTTTTTGTTTTCCTAATAGGCGCAGGGTACCATTTGATAGACCACCAAGGATCCACCTAAGCCTAAGTTGCAATCCAGGCAAAACTTGGAACCAAACATTGAAATTCTTCAGCTACAGTAAATATCGGATCTCCTTCCAGAAATTCCTACGGATTTCACTTGGTTTTTAAAAAGTAGACATATAGTAGTCAATAAAGTCCCAATACATATTCGGAATATGGTGGATTTTTTCCGGGGCTCAAAGAGAAAAAGATGGTTCAAAAATGCCTAAATGCCACATTTTCGGGTTTTGGATGCTTAAAACTTGGTACTTCTCGATCATAAGAGCACATACAAGGGTAAAGTTTTGAGATTATATTTAGTAATGCTTGTAGTATACGTGACATGTGTGGGAGGCTGGGAGGAAAGTTCGTCATTTTTGATTATCTTATTTTTCTAGCTTTCTGTGTGCTGAAAAAATCAACTAAAGGAATAATTGAGAACTACTACGTGCCTACCGTGGAAGGACCAAGTTGGAAGTTTGTAGGGTTTTTCCTCGTAAAAACCCAATTTTTCAGTGACAAAATTTTTTCGATTGCTTCAAACTTTGCACGGAATGCACTTTGTACGCTTGACGGTCACTTAGTAGAGCTTGATCTGCTCTATCCTAAATATACTAGGAAAGCAAAAACAGCTCAAATTATCTAAAAAAGAAGTTTACTTCTGGAACAGCTTAACACAGTGTAAATTTTCTTTGCAGTATCCATTCAGTTTCACGGTACTTTCAAAAAGGAGAAGAGGGATGGAGTACGGCTCAACTAAGTTAGTGTGGAGGTCAGTGTCTAGACAAATTGGAGGGTCTGGTATCCCAGTGCCGCGCGAAAGTGACAACGTCATCGCGCAAATGAGAGGCCATAGCGTTCGATTAGAAGCACGGTAAGAAATTTTCGATACTTACGTCCTGGGAGTGAGGTCTTGCACGTGTTTAAATACCTGCTCTGTATACTTGGATAAATTCGAAAATTTTCATCGAATGAATGAATATCGAATAAATTCGAAAATGAAAAATCTCG